AAAAAAAAAAAAAAAAGAAATGAAGTCTTGAGCTTCTTTACAAATGCTTAAGTATTTGTTAAAGCTGCTCCCCAGCCCTCAGTACCGCAAGTAGTCTGCTCTGGCCGCCAGGAGCATTTAAACAGAGCTTTAATTTCACACAGTTCTGGGGTCTGGAAGTCGGAGACCAAGGTGCCAGCTTGCTCCTTTCTCCAGACTTCCTTTGACTTGCAGACTATTGTAACCTTACTCTCCCTTATGTATGGATGTCCCTGGTGTTGCTTCCTCTTCTTATAATGACACTAATCTGCCTGGATTAGAGCTCTGCCACCATGATGTCCTTTAACTTTAATTACATCTTTAACTTCTAAATACAATCACATTGGGATTGCCCTTCAACTTGTAACCTTTAATTTTTTTACATATTTATATGTTTTTATTTATTTGTGTGTGTGTGTGTGTGTGTGTGTGTGTGTGTCTGTATACACACGCATGCGCATGCGTGCACACTTGCACACCAAGGTGCCTGTGTGAAGTTCAGAGTGCAGCTTTTAGGCCTTGATTCTTTTCTTTCATGATGTCGATCCCATAACAGAACTCAGGTCATCAGACTTGGAGGCAAGCACCTTTATGTGATGAATAATCATCTCACTAGGCCTAAACTTGTCACTTTTTAGGGGACACAAGTCCACCCATAACAAGATAGCAAGAGTGATCAATAACACTTTCTTTGAGATGATATCTGAAGTAGGACTTTAAGAACAAAAAGGGTAAAAGCTCATGACAAGCCCTCCCTATAGGGCAAGATCAAGGACAAGGCCTCTGACTCAGGAATGTTTTTAGAAAGTTCATGAAACCAGAAAGAGCCATGACTCCAGAACTATTTCAGTGATTAGCAAAGAAAACATAACTACACATAGAGAATGATATCATATAAGCACACATCGCTATTAATACTTGTTAACACTCATTAATAATAGCTATTCGTGCCTTAAATATAGTGTATTTTAGAAGGTTTTTGAATTTATA